TCCACAGTAGAACACAGTATGTGGGGAGCCTGACTCTGTGTGTCCATACCAGGATCTCACATACCTGACTCCAGGAAAACACCTTATTCCCTCTGAGGCAACACTTGTGCATGTGTATTGATGGGAATGATGGGAATATACTCCACATTTACCCCTAACCAAGACGTCATCTCAGTATAAAACCTGGAGCCTGAAGTGTTCACAGAACACGAAAGAATTTGCATATGAGAGGTCCTTTCTTGCCCTCACTTTCCCTTCTGTAGTTCCAAATTATCTACAATCATACACTGTGGTCCAAAAACATAAAACGGGAAAAAAGTGCTAGAAATGAACAATTCCTAAATCTTGTAGTTCTTGCCTTTCTGAGGAGTATGATGAAATCCTGTACCTTCTTGCTCTACACCACCTGGGATACAAGTCATCCTTGCTCACATATCCATGGTGTATATGATGCCCTCCCATTAGTAACGTGGTAGGAAAAACATAAACAGCAACTTCTGCACAGTGGCTGACAGTGACACAGCCCTTGAAAAAAAGGCACCGCTCCTGTATACACATGCAAACACATATACCACACACATACACACAAAAAGAGCCCAGAGCTGCCCAGCTCCTATGATGAGTCCTCCTTGGCTCTTATCTAATAGCAGTCACAAAAAAAAAAAAAAAAAAAAAAAAAAGTTTGCAATCCCACTGACAGAGTGATACAGCAGACAGTGACCATTAAGCTATTCTGTGTCACAGGATCGGCCAAGGGAGATCTCTTACAAAGTTCAGACGGAGATCTCAAAGGCAAGAAGAAGGGGCAACCTGGAAGATCACTTCAGCAGGTGGGTGAAAGTGAAGGCCTTTCTCATACACAAGATGGAAGGCAAGAAACTAGGGACAGGGTGGTGGGCAGACAAGGCCCACAGGTTATCAAAGGCCAGGGGCTGGAGAGGGTCTTTCCCAGAGGGAAAGACAACCGGGTACATGGAAGTGTGGTGGTGAGGCTCTGGCAGAGAGATCAAGACAACAGAGAAAATTAGTTAATCACCATCAAAGGGGTCCTGGAAATGATAGGAGGGGGGTGGAGATCAAAAGCACAGTGAGGAGGGGGTGGGGCCCTGGGCTTTTCAATCAAATCTTTGTTTCAGCTTGAGTTTTCTTCTGTATGCTTCTCTCTCTGCTGAATTCAGTTTTTAGGTCCTGAGTTGCCTTGGTTTCATTCAGCTGAATGTTTGTGCTTTCCTGGGCATCACTCGGGAGTTTATTCCTGTGTTCTGAGGCGCCAGTGTCTGCTACTTGAACTCTTTGATCGTGCTCATGATTGCTCTTTCATATTCTGTGCCCTGGGATTCATCTCAGTAATTCTTATGGGAGAACATTTCTATTGGACTAGAGAACTTGGACTGGAGGGGGCACATATTGTCTTGTCCTTTCATACTGTTTGTTATGTGACCTGGCCATATAGGCTTTTGTTGGCTGCATGTCTGATGTAAGATTCTGGCCTGCCTCTGTTGTGTGGAAGCTTGGTTGATTTGGGATCATATATGAGATGTTGGTAGGCCAGCCCTTTAGACACTCAGAGCTGAGCTTTGATCTAAAGGACAGGAATGATTCCAATTCAGTAGTAACCAAGAAAGCTTTCAGCTGGGGCAGCCTGGGCTGGGGTACAAAGGTGCATTAATCAAGCTGGGCCTGGGAGTATGGGGCCAGTGTGGAAGGGTGATATTCTGGGTAGCTCACTAGGTTGGGCCTGTGCCCAGACTACGGAAAGATGAGGGTCTATCTCAAGGGAAGAGCGGTGTATTTGCATTTGTCTGCTTAAGTTGGCATAATCAAACTCCACTGACTGGATCCCTTATACAACACAGCTAACTTCCTCGGAGCTCTTCAGACTGTAGAGTACAAAACCAAGGTGTAGCAAGGCAAGTGTCATCCTGAGACCCCTTCTTTGAGCTTATGGTGTCCACCACCTCACCTGTGCCCATGTGGCTTTCCCTTTGTGTGCTCTCACAGAGTGGGGGATGAGGGTAAAGAGAAAGAGGGTTCCCCGAGGTTTCTTCTCACAAAAACACCAATCATAGCAGCTCAGGGCCTCATCCCATGACCTCATTTAACCTTAACTGTTCCCTTACTCCAAATACAACCGCACTGAGGGTTAAGATTTCAACAAGTGAATTTGGGGGGGGGGGATACATACATTTAGTCTATAAGAGCACAAATATGCTATGTTTACAAGAGCAGTCCTAGCAATACATGGCAAGGGTCTGAGGAAGCAAAAAGACTTAGGTTCACTGGAAGTAGACAATCATGAGGAACCTGCCCAGAGTGACCAAGGGATGAACATGGAGCAGACACATGCAAGCAGGAAATGAAAAGGGAGAGAATGGGATCAGGAGTAGAGGCAGGACTACATCTATTTCCAGCAAATCTCAAGACCTCATTTCAGGAAATGATCTGGTCCTCCCTGCCCCCAGCAAGCATCAGTCAGACATGTGGCCCCTAGCAGGTTGCCCATGCTACAATGGATGGGTCTACACACATGCACATACCAGCAGTGCTAACTGTTGTTACGAGCAGGTTTTTCCACCGGCCTGGTCCCACAGCCGTGCCAGCCCCAAGTAACACACAGAGAGACTCTGTATTAGATATAAAGCTGTTGGCCAGTTACTAGTTTCTTATCGGCTAGCTCTGTTTTAAATATTAACCTATTTCTATTAATCTGAGTATTTCTATGTGGTCTTATCTTCCCTGATAATGAGTTTGATGACTACCTTATATGCTATCCTTGAGCCCTCACCTAGCATCTGATGGAAACAGAAGCAGACACCCACAGCTAAACATTGAGCCAAACTTCTGGAATCCAGTTGCAGTCAAAGAGAGGGAGCAGGGGTAGGGATCAAAATCATGATGGGGAAACCCACAGAGACAGCCCACCCAAGGTCATTGGAGCTCATGGACTCTAGACCAACAGCTGGGGAGCCTGCGTGGAACCTAAATAGGCCCTCTGCATATGGTCAACAGTTGTGTAGCTGGATATGTTTGAAGGGCCCCTAGCAGTGAGACCAGGATCTATCCCCAGTTCATGAGCAGGCTTTTGGAGCCAATTCCCTATGCTTGCTCAGCCTGGATGCAGTGGGGAGGGCCTTGGTCCTGACTCAATGTGCCAGGCTTTGTTGACTCCCCATAAGAGGCCTTACCCTTTCTGATGAGTGGATGGGAGGGTGGGTTGGGAGGGAGACTGGGGGAAGGTGGAAGGAGGGGAGGGAAGGGAAACTGTGGTTGGTATGTATAATGAACAAAAAAATTAAAATAAAAAATATTTTAGGGGGCTGGAGAGATGGAGCAGTAGTTAAGAGCACTGACTGCTCTTCCAGAGGACCCAGGTTCAATAGTGAGATATTTACTTTGTCTCCTTCTGTGGCACTGACCATGCCCATTGGGGGTGGAGCCATGGGCGGAAGTGACCTGTGGAAGGAGTTCTGGGGAAGAGCTGGGGAACACTCTCTTGCTGGCGGGACTCGGACAGGAGAGCATCCGGTGAAACTTGCTGGTGTTCATCTGTCTAGGTTGTAAGTTATTTCTCCCTGAATAAACATCTATTCGACCTATTTGTTTATCCTGATCCTTATTTAACCGCAAAAGCAGCTCACAACTGTCCCTAACTCCTGTTCCAGGGAATCCAAACACCAATGTAAATAAAATAATTAAATAAATAAATTTTTAAAGGAAAGCTTGGAATTCTCTTTGGTTGTAACACTAGAGACACATTCATTGGTCCTGTGAAAATAATTGACATCTCTATAACCCTAAAAAATTGATATACAGACTCTGCTATATAATGAGAAAGTAAAACCCATGGTTAGGATTATTCTTCTGCTAAAGAGGTATTTAAATGAACAGGATAACAAGGTCATAGTGAAAGCCAATAGTAGCTATTACAGCTGTGGTCTCCAGCAGACTCTGAGCATCTCACCAAACCACTGCTAGAGAACCAGAAAGATCATTCAGGGGGGTAAAGTGCATTGCTACCAAGCCTGACAACCTGAGTTTCATCACACAAGCCCATATCCCCATACACCATAAATAAATACATAAGTAAATGTAATAAAATGTTTAAAATGAAGGACATGCACTATGACTGCACTTGCTAAGAAAATGCAAACTAATCTAAAGCTGGCAGAAAGCAGGCTGGTTGCTGCCTGGAGATGGAGTCATGGTAATAGCAGGGAAGAGATTACAAACAAGTGCTTCACAACTGTATACATGTATCCATGAGATCACAGACCCCCTTGCTGGCTCATTCATGTTCTCTCTCCCTCTTCTCCCTCTTCCTCTCTCCCTGTTTCCCACTCCCCCTACACACACACCAGACCATACCCCTTTGCAACTCTCTCTTTCTGAGACAGGGTTGATAAGAGAGCATATTGTTCATCCTCTGGAGCTGCAGAATAAAGTCATGATCCTACCTGATGCCTGCCATCATGCCCTTTGTTACAGTGACAGTTACAAGATCGATCATTCGGTATGAAGCTTGCTTCCCCACCCACCCACCCACTCCAAAACCTATCAGAGTCAGAAACTCCTTTGTTCTCAGGGTTTGAAGGGCTGGCACTCCCCTCAAGACCCCACCATGATGCTGTTAAGACACTCTTGTCTAGTCTCAGGCTCTTGAACTCCAAAGCCCCATGCTGCCCCTCTCCCACATTGAGGGGCTCTCTTCCCCAATAAAGGTCTTCTAAGGAGTAATCTTATGTCAGCTCCCTCCCAGGAACTGCCATTTTCCTCTGTTCTTCTCAGCTCTAACAATATCAGAAAGTGTCTAATTACATATTTTAAACATGTAGAATTTAATTATGTGCTAAATATACCTCAGGAAAGCTACTTGAAATGCATAACAATATCTCAAGTCAGTGCAGATATTTATTAGACACAGACAGAGAAGTAAAACACAATACAGTGTGCAGTCACCAAGAGACTAAAACACTCATTCTATCAATTCCTGGGATACTCACCTCTGCTGCTTGATTTTTTAGGTTGCCTTCTATCTCCAACTTAGGTGTTGCAGTCAGCTCTGTTCTGTTCTTGCTGGGTGTGATCTCCAAGTCAATTACTGGCTTCTCTCTATAAACAATTTTACAATCACATTTCAAACAAAATTATTCCATAGCTGTTGGAAAGTCTATGTGACCAATCGCTTCAGATCTGAACACCTTCCTATTTTGTCATTGAAAGAGACATCCTTCACACACCTGCCAACTTGATTCCATGAAGACACTTGCTTTCAAACCTCTGCTTCCTGGTTTTTTGACAATTGTTTAAAACTAAATGTATAGATAAGAGGTGTCACATTCAAAATAGAGTCCCTAATCTCAAACCCAGAAAAATGTAGCCAGAGGGAATGCTGCCATGCACTGCCAGGAGAAATTCCACAAAGCCATAACTTGCCATACCTGCCCAGCAAGGGGTCAACTTGGACTGACCCCACCCACCCCTCCTGCTGGCTCCTAAATGTTATTTAGTCAATCTGAGGCCAAAGATGATTGATTCACAGCAATTTCCATTCTCTTCTTTTCAGCTCTAAATGTTTCTCTCCCTCCCACGTTCTTGGAACGCACTGTTGGTTTCCATAAGGTGTGTACACTTTGCACTTATTCCCAAATAGATTCTATTATTCATTCTTCCCTGCCCCCCATCAGAGCGTTTAAGTTTTTGTTGTTGTTGTTCATTATTCTTTTCAAATGCTTAGCATCAAGTGATACTTGGACACCAATTTTAACAGAAGACAGTATGATGCAAAAGGCCTCATACCTCCTTTCACCCCAACCGAATGCCCAGCACAAGCCTCCTGAATTTCTCGTTGGTTTGTGCTCCTACAAACCCACTCAACTTTCAAGAGTCTGCAGATTGGCCTTGTGGGTAAAAACTTCAACAACGTATGCCAATAGCCGTCAGGTCTACAGCCTTGATCAGTCTTACCCGGCGGGCTCTACTCACTGGTTTATTGTTGACTGATTGGACAGAGACCACTTGGTGGGATGGAAGAGTTCTAAGACAGCTTTACAAAAAGGCTTCTGGTACCAAAGCCCCAGTCCTTATAGAATAAATCTTACCCGCGAGGCAAGCTTCTGGCCTGTTCTAACCGGCAGCCTTGCTTGAACCGCTTTGGCAGAAGCTGGACCAACAGCGCCTGAGATCTCGCTGACTCTAATTCAAGAGGGAAGGGGTATGATTTCATATACAACTCCCTTCTATGCGGGAAGAAGTGAACCCCATGAAACACCAGCTCAAGCCTAAAGTGGGCTGGGTGTTCTGGTTTAGAATGGTGTCTGGTGAATGTCTCTAATCCCAACAGAGCAGGCAGAAGTAGGCACATCTCTGTGAGCTCCAGACCAGCCTGATCTACATCTAGAGTTGCATGCCAGCCAGGGCTGTGTAGAGTGAGTGTGTGTGTGTGTGTGTGTGTGTGTGTGTGTGTGTGTGTGTATTTACAACTGTGCCCGGTTCCTGCTTTGCCCTCCACAAAATTTGGAAGGGGGGAGATTAATTAGAGGTAAGCAACTGCCAAGCCATTTCTGACAGGCTGCTACTCTCTGGGACAAGAACCACCCAGAAAGGCTTCGAGGGAAAGGCCCCATTCACGGGGCAGACCTGAGTGGGACACGGTTGATGGTCCAGTGGCAGGCTGGGTGTCACTTGACTCGGTACTGCTGGTCTTCGAGGTGAACTTGGGGCGCGGCCATGGGATCTTGGAGAGGCGGATCCCGTACTCCCCACCAGCGGTTGGACTCAGGCCCATCCCGCCGTGGCCAGCAGGGACAATACGCCTGAAGAGCTCACAGATGACACGGCCCGGGGTCCGCGGAGCTCCTGGATCATGGGCATCGGGTCTGGAGGGACTAGAACCCGAGGTGAGCGGGGAGGGAAAGCGGTGCCAAGGGGCGCGCGGCAAACGGCGGCGAGGGTGCGCGGGGCAAGACACGCGGAAAGGGGGCACGAGCGGGGCGGGGGGTGCAGACGCTGCACCTGTCAGTAAGCTCATCCGTGGACACTGGCGTGAAGGAAGGCGCCACAGCCCCTCAGAGAAAAGGCGGGCGCGCAGTGCTGGATAGAAGTGGGTCATTCGTGAGTCATGCAAAGCCGCAGCGTCAGAGGGAGCATCTGAGGCCTCTGGAGAAGTCCACAGTTATTGACTAGCCAGCCCCACCGAGGGTTTTGAGACCGGATTATGAGGCCTGGGAAGCCCGCTTCAGTTTCGCTACACAGTGAGACTCAGGCAAGCCTGCGCTAGAGTAAGACACAAAGGCTAAATATGGGGTTGGAGTGATGGCTAGAGTTAAGAGCAACTATTACCCCTGCAGAGGATCCCAGGTCGGTTCTCAGCACCACGAGGTGGCTCACAACAGTCTATAACACCAGTTCCGGGAGTTCAGACGCCTTCTTCTGGCCTCTGGCCAGCACCAGACATGCACATGGTACACACAGATGTGCAGGCACAAACACATGTACACATCAAATAAACCTTTTAAAAATTAAAGCTAAATAATGCCAGGCGGTGGTGGCACACACCTTTAATCCCAGGAGGCAGAGGCAGGTGGATCTCTGTGAGTTCAAGGCCAGCCTGGTCCACAGAGTATGTTCAAGGACAGCCAGTTACATACAGAGAACTCCTGTCTCGAAAAGCAAAAATATTAAAGCTAAATAAATATATAATGTAATAAGCAAAGGTGGGATCTCAGAACTGTAGCATACCCAGTACACACAAGATCCACCTATATCCCTTGCTTTCTACCTCTCATCCCTTCCATCCTGAGTGTTATGTCTAATTGTCCATGCATTTTGTTTTTTGAGCAGGCAGGTCTTGAACTCTGGGGCTCACACGATCCTTTTTCAGCCTCAGCTAAGACTACATACAGTAGTGACTTTACCCACCTGGCCTTTACCTCTACAAAATCATGTGATATTTTCACACATGTGTTTGATGTGCTTAGATCGGATTCATTATTCACTCTCTATCTCCTTACCTCAATTTCCACTTCCTTCACATCCCCCTTCATATTCATGTCTTTATTATTATTCCTAAAGTCCACACATAAGAGCTTGCACCATACTTGTCTTTCTGAGCCTAGCTTATTTTGTTTAACACGATCAGCAGTTTCTTCCATTTTCCTGCAAACAATGAAAAGTCATCCTTTGTGATTGAATAAAACCACGAATTCTTTATCCATTCATCCATTGATTTCCCCTAACCTTTTAACTTGTTTTGTTTTGTCCAAATCCTTCTGAATCCCTAATACCTTGTTTTCATGCTTGAAGCTTTGTTTTTAGATTGATGTCTGGCCTGGATTATCTGTGTCCTCCCAAAATTCATATACTGAACTCCTAAGCCCTAGGTAAATGGACTAGGTGAAAGGCTTTGAGAAGAACTTGGATGCTAACAACAAACTCCTCATGGATGGGACTTCTGTCTTTACCAAAAAAAAAAAAAAAAAAAAAATGGATGGAAGGAAGGAAGGAAGGAAGGAAGGAAGGAAGGAAAGGAGGGAGGGAGGAAGGAAGGAAGCTGCTAGAGAACTGGGAACCCCCCATTTCCACCTATGATCCTGAAAATGGGTCTCACCAGACATTGAATCTCTAGAGCAGGTCCTGGAGACATTTCTGTTATCTACAAGGTTCTTTTTTATAACATGCTGTAATGGCTTGAATAAATGCCCCCAAAGGGTCAGATATTTGAACACTTAGTCCCCAGTTTGTGGTGTTGCCTGGGGAGTGCCATGGCTAATCTTGATTGTCAACTTAAAACCCAAGCAGCTGAACATGACTATAAGGGATTCTTTTTTCTGATTATTTGATATGGAATACCCACCTAACTCTGAGCCAGATCTTCTAGTAGCAGCTCATATGAACAAACAGAAGAAACTTCTGCTTTTTGACTACTGACCCTCATTCTCACTGGCAAGTTCGTCTAACCTGCAGCCAAGGCATTCCTGCCTTCTCCTTTGGGATTCCAACATACACTAACAACCAGTAGCTTTCCAACACTGCCCCCATACTCCAGCACCAGACAGGAACTACAGAGACACCTAGTCTGGAGAACTGACTACTGGATTCTTGGCCTTTCCCTCATGAGACAGCCATTGTTGCACTACCCAAGGTATGTATTCATTCATTCTATCAGGCCTGTTACTACGAGAGATTTAGGAGGTGTGGCCTCCTGGAGATGGTGGACTTCAGGGAAAAAAGGCCTTGTGCCATTTCCATTCTGCTCTCTGCTTTGTGCTCATGGTTGAGGTGTGAGCTCTCATCTTCCAGATCCTGCCATCTTGTTTGCTGCTTACTGCCATACTTCCTGTGATAGTTTGAATGTAATTGCTCCCATAAGCTTATAGGGAGTGGCATCACTATTAGGAGGTGTGTCCTTGTTGGAGTAGGTGTGGCCTTGCTGGAGGAAGTGTGTCACTGTGGGGTGGGACTTGGAGGTCTCCTTTGCTCAAGCATCATTGAGTGTGACTCTCAGTCCACTTCCTGTATCGTTCTGATCAAGATGTAGCCAGCACATTTTGCTTGCAGGCCACCATACTCCCTGCCATGATGACAATGGACTGAACCTCTGAAATTGTAAGCCAGCCACCACAGCTAAATGTTTTCCTTATAAGAGTTGCCATGGTCATGTGTCTCTTCACAGCAATAGAAACTCTAAGACACTTCCTCAACCTCATGAACATTTATCCCTCTGGAACATAAGCCCGAATAAACCCTTCCTTCTGTTAGTTGCCATGGTCATAGTTTTTATCACAGCAACAGGGGGGAAAAAAGCAACTGGTACACTTAGCAAAGTGACAGTTGCTTCTTTCACACTGTGTGGAACTCTTCAGCGACTTTCTTCTCCCAGAGTTGTTTCTATGACTTACTCATGTGTAGGAGGCAAGAAGGTCCTTGTACTCACAGATAAGTACTAAGGGGCCATTATTGTTAAACACACAGGATTGTGCTATAGTGCAGTAAATAAGAATCTGGTTATTTGGAAAGAAACCGCTGAGGGTTCCTGTACCAAGGATGCCTCTGGATGCTCTCCGTCTCTGTCCAGGAAGTAAGAGAGAGAGCTGGGGTCTGGGACCCCAGACCTAGTCTCCCCTGGTCACACCCACACCTGTCCTCACACCCCAATGAGCACGGTCAATGCAATGGGTGTGGGTAGGGTGAATATCTCACTACATTGTTCCTTCAAAGGAAGAGATTTATAACCTGCCATCCACTACAGTGAACAGCCTGGTGACTTTTGCATTATCTGTGCATGACTGAGACCATACCAGACCCTTATTGTGAGCTGGTTTTTCCTAGTCAATCTATAGCACCCATCAAGGTGTCCCGTGCACTTTACAAAGAGTTTCAATGTAGTCATATCCAATCTTTATTTGGCTAACTTTGTGCTTTATTGTGCACACAGGATTGAGTTATTATCACCAAGAAAGTTTTACCAATGTGCTGTGCTTAAATATGCCTAAAATAAACTGCTTGGAGTCAGAGTTACAAAGTTTGGACCAACACTGGCTGCTTTGTCATGTTGAACCAAACTCCCTTCTTGCCTCCAAAGAATTGCTACTCTGCTGGCCATGGTGGTCACAAAGACCCATACACACTCATATAGAGACTGTAAATTAGCCCACTGTATGCTCATGCCATGGTTTACTGACCCAATGATAAAGCTACTTGGTGGATAGGTATGATTGTTTGCCTTTTTCCCTTAATTGAAGCAATTGGGAAGGAACCATAATTGTGTATATTCATTCAAGAGAGTTCATGTACCCAAGGGTACATGTAAATTTTCAGCTTTACGATAAAAAAAAAAAAAAACTATCTTTTTTTCTGACAATACCAATTTCACTTCTCTCAGGAATATGTTAGAAGTCTTATTGGTTTACATTTTTATCAGTGGTTAATACTTTCACAGTTACTCTTTCCAGATAAAAGGTTATAAAATATTTTATTAAGTTATTTTATTAGAAGCTGGAGATGTGGCTCAGCAATTAAGAGCACTTCCTGCTCTTAGAAAGAACCCAGATTTGATTCCTAGCACCCACACTAGGCAGCCCACAACTGCCAACACACCAGCTCCAGGAGAGGCAATCCCCTCTTCTGGCCTCTGTGGGCATCTGCACTCAAGTGGCATACACAGGTACACACTAAACATAAACAAAAATAATAAATAAATGAATACCACAAGAACAATGGGATGAAATGTAGTTGGTAATACACCTGTTCATTCATGAAAACCCAACACAAGACAGATGGCCTTGTTCATCCCTGGAAAAGAAAAGAATATCTGTATGTGAGAATGAGAGAAATGATTATTCATGTTAAGAAAAATGAAGCTTGACCCCCCAATTCCCACATACACAGAAATGGTTCCCACTAGGTTAAGTGGAGTGGGGCCAGCTGCCAAGTTCTGTCCATTCTTCCAACTAGTTTTTCTCCTAGTATTCACACCCTCTAATTATCCCATCCAGTTGGAAGGTGTGGTAAGGAAGGGCCCCTTTCATGTTCTGGAGAATGGGTTCTGGGTCCCTCGAGAATGTTCAAAGACCTGGAGAAAGAGACATCATGCCACCAGCCTTTTCACCTGAAGGCCCTCACTGGCCACATCCCTCATCACTGGGCCTTGGAGTGTGACAAGAGCACAAACCTCTGCTCTGTTTCAGGCCCGGTTGTAACCCTCCAAATGCTGGATACTGAATCCTGACCCCTAGAACGTCAGAAATATGACTGTGTTTACAGACACAGCCCTTACAGAAATAATTAAGATAAAAATGAGGTCCAATATGATTGCATCCTCACAGAAAAGGGAGATCAGAACCCAGCCACAGACAGCAGAAACAACCAACTGTATGAGGGCAAGGATTGAAGCCCCAGGAGAAGCCAAACCTGTCAACACCTGCTCTTCAACTGCCAGCCTCCAAAACAGACAAAACAGATTTCTGTTGTTCACAACCCCTCTCCAGTGTGTTGAGTGTTGTTGTGGCAACCCAAGTAAATGAGTGCATCCTTCCTCCTTATTTCCCAGCAGGACTGAGTGTGCACTGGGGGAAGGGCGACATGGGCCTTGGGGACCCAGATCTGATTACTGAGCAGAGCTCTGTATCCTGGCTCAACTGGTCTCTCCACTTGTAGTTTCTCCTTCCCACTGTATGTAGAGTAGCTTTTATTTATCCTGAACACACCCTGGGTTGGATTTCCCACGGAAATACCTTTGGCTCCCCTGTTCCACCTACCCAGCAGGCGCTGAACAAAAGTGCTTTCAGTTACCACCTAAGTCGGGGTTTCACAAACATCCACGCGCAGTGGGATTGCCTGCAGGGTCAATTCTTGAACTTCACCCCCCAAAAACCCTCATCAGCAGGCCTGTGATGGAGGCCCCACAATTCACCTTTCTGGCAAACTTCTAGCCGTGCCCCCCTCCCAGGAATTACTTACTCTTCTGCGCCCCGTGCACTTGACATTTTGTCTACCCTGGTCCCTGCCAGGAATTCCCTGCTGCCAAGCCTGACCCCACAGTTAGATCAGAAAACCTCCCAACTTGGGCTAAAGTTGAGAAGTTAAGCTATTTTTAAATGGGAAGCTTTACTGCAATCTGTACCAGGCCTGGAGGCCAATCCTAAAACACAGCTATCTAGGCGCAGGCTCAAGCACAAGGCTCTGCCATGGTCTCCCTCTTGACACACAGGAGAACAAATGGGTGGGGGCAGATTTCAGGGAGAAGAGAAGACTTGTGGAAGGACACATAAGAGCAGGAGCTCTGTTCCCGCTAACCCAGGTTGCTTATCTGAGACCACGGGAACCCTCCTCTCCCTGCTTACTCACCACTTTCTTGTGACCCCAGCTGGTCCTTGGCATTTGCAGCTAATGCTGAAAAGGTCTCATGGGACTGTACAACTTGAAACAAATAGTGGGGAAAGAGGCAGGGAAATGAGGACAGGAGGAGCCAGGAAGCTGGGGGCGGGGCCTCTCAAGGAACCTGCACACGTGTACCACTACCATGCCTTTCTCTGACCCGAAGAAGGCCCTGTCCAGGTGAGCCCTCGCTGAAAGGAGCCAACCCCAGGCAACCCTTTGAAATGGCCAAGTGCTTCAGACACAGATGGATTAGTTAGCTGGTCCGTGAGTGAGTGCCAGCTACCGGCCCCTGGACACGAGATTCTAAGAGCAGCCACGGTCCAGCCAAAGCTGCTGCTGTGTACCACCAGGCCTGGGGGTGAAGCGGGATCTGATGTGGATCCTAAAGGTAGGCCACTGCCTTTCCCAGGTCTGTTGCAAGAAGCCCTAGGACTCCACAGAGAACAGGTGAGACTAACAGATTGTACAGCTGTTGCAGAGACTGAAGGCCCTGCCTGGGAAACGTGAGTTAATTCAGTGGAGGACAGTGCTGCTGGAATCAGGATTGGCAGCTGAGTTGAAGTTGCTCCGCCTGCTCTCATGTCAGCTGATGAACACCTGGACCCGATTCCTGACAGCTTCATCCTGCAGCCTCCAGTCTTCCACCCAGTGAGTAGGCTTATCACAGTGACTGATCAGCTAAATCTAACTTGCTTGGGAGTGAGTGGGCTCCCAGGGTCCTTGCCTTTTCAATCTGCCTCTTCTGGGCTGGGTGGCTAGAAGAATGGAGGTGGGATTATTGAGAGGGACACTAATGACTAAGGGCAGCTGCTTCTCCGAGCTGGAAGGAAGGGCCTGGGAGCTCTCCCAATCAGAATCCTTCTCTCCCTCTTCCTGTTCAGTGCCCAGGAGACTTTCTGAAGCCCAGCAATGCTCTACAGAAGGCCAAACTCCCAGCAGGCACTACCACTAATGAGCACTGATCATTACCTTCCCCTGCTTGGTCCTCTCCTCCCTAGAGTCCTCCATCACTCAGTTAATTAACACATTCTGCCAAGAGACTGGGAACTGTGCTGCTGGGCCCTGCAAAGCTGTGGGAACCATGCCATATGGAGAGCCTGGCCTCTGGCATCTCCCCAGGTGCCTGAGTAATGGGATGAAGCATCTGAAACCTCCTTGGTCCCCATCGCCTCTTGCTTCACAGGCTAAGAACCACCACCTGGAAGGCTTCTTAGGGTGGTCTGGGCTCTCTGATTGCCACTGGGTGTTGACAAGCAATGCATGAAGGCTGGCTCTGTGACACTGGCCCCAGGTTCACCTGCTGGCTTGTGAGCATGCCTTCTGCAGAGCACCCACTGTGCTCAGATAACTGCTGAGCCACTTGAAGGGAAAAACAGTGAGGTTCCAGTTATAAGGACCTGTTATCTTAATAGGAAAACAGCTGGCCAGCTCCTCTATACTGGTGGTCCTGGGCCAAGCTAGCATTGTGAGTTAAGTGCTCTGAGAGCTCAGGAAGGGGAGAGCAAGAAGGTGCCAGGTTGGAGGGAGAGGAAAGGGTGGGAGAGAACAGACCCAGAATAAGACTTGCAATGTGTGTGTATACTTTAGGAAGGCCAGGTCACCTCTGTGAGAGGAATAGTGGGCCCAGCAGGTGACAAGTCACTTTTGGGAATCCCTGAAGAGAGACCACATCAGGGTCAGCTTGCTCCCAACTTCTCCATTCTTTTTTCCTCTCAGCTCCTAAACTCTGGACATTCACCAGTCCTCAGACACATCCTTCCCAGGTGGCAGTGGGTGGCAAGCCTCAGTGGGGACACAGCAACCTACTGGTGCTCTAACAGGACAGTGACGCTGGATTAGGCTTCCCCCTGGCATTGTGGTTTTTGACATCTCTGCCCAAGAAAGGAGGGCTTTGAAAAGAGCTGGACTAACCACTTGATGGGATGTAGACTTGCCATGGAAACAAATCTATGGACAAGTCTGTGAGGTATTATCTAGGCTCCATTAACCAAGGTAATGAGTGTATCCCTCAGTGTGGGGTGACACCATTCTGGGGGCTGAATCCTGGTCTAAATAAAAAGTATGCATCAAGCTAAGTACCAGGTTTTGTTGCAGCCTGAATCCTGACTGTGGATACAATGTGGCCAGCTGCTTCAAGCTCCTGCTGCCATGAGAGAAGAAATTAATCCAGGAATATTGGAGAGAAAACTGGTTATTCCCTACAAGGATATTTTATTTTGAGAGTGTATCAGTTACTTTTTCTTACTGCTGTAAAAAAAAAAAAAATACTTAGCAATAGCAACGTATGGCAGGAAAGGTTTGTTTTGGCTCCCAGGCATTAGAGAAACATCCGCCATAGCAAGAAAGGTGGAAGGAGGTGGCCACTCTTGAAGTTCCACAGTCAAGAGTCAAGGGCCTGGAATGCTTGTACTCCACTGGCCTTCACCTTTTTACTCAGTCTGGAAGAGGCCTATGAAAGGCACTGTCCCCATTTAGGGTGGGTCTTCCCACTGCAATTAACCTTACCTAGAAAATCCCCTTCAGATGTTCCTAAAAGTGTGTTTCCATGGTATTTGTAAATTTCAGCATGCTAACAGTCAAGATTAACTTCACAGTGGAGAAGCTGGGTTTCCTGGTCCACCACACCTACCCCTGCACACAGGGATCCCTGGTTCCACCTCCAATTGGCACACCTGGTTTCTCTCCCTTGCTCAGGTGGTTCCCTATGTCACAACAATTTTTGGTGGCCTGTATGCAGGCAAGATGGTCATGCTGCAGGGTGTGGTCCCTCTACGTGCACGAAGGTAAGGAGGACTGTCTAGGTTTGGGTAGAGCCCAGATTTAGGGGCATCAATCTGGGCTTCCTCTCTACCTTCAGAATTTCTTGTGGGTCTCTGACCAGAAGGACATCTCAAAAGCCACATAACATCCCCACCAGGTTTCAGGTGGACTTCCAGTGTGGGTGCTGCGTGCATCCGCGGCCAGATATTGCCTTCCACTTCAACCCTCGTTTCTACACTGTCAAACCACATGTCATCTGCAACAGCCTCCAAGGTGGACTCTGGCAAAAAGAAGTCCGGTGGCCGGGTGTCACCCTGAAGAGAGGTGCTAGCTTCCTCATCCTCTTTCTCTTTGAGAGCAAAGAGGTGAAGGTGAGTATAAAGGCTAGGCATCACTTAGTCTAGAATGGCACCCCTACACTATTCCTTCTCTTGTCCAGTTTTCCATGGCATTGCGATAAACAGCACTGTAGAGAAGGGGATAAGGTCCCTGGATCCAGTGGGGAGAGGGATCTGCTGCATGGTCAGAGAATAAGCACTTGGAGGCCTCCTGCTTGGTTCCAGACACTGTGCTGAAACCTTTATGAGAATGTGCCCACTAAATCCTCCCACAGGGTCTGAGATGGGTGCCTTCACAATCAGCTTATAGCTGAGGCAGCAGGAGATGGGGAGAGAGAACTTAATGCCCAGGCTTTGACCTCCAATATGATCCCAATAGAATGATAATGGCACCTTCAGAAGGCCCTACAGGACAAGACAGCTGGTGGAAGGGAAGTCCTGATGCATACAAATTACCCCCAACTTCCTGAGCCTTGGTTTCCTTGCTGTAGATAGGAGGAGGGGAAGGAAGAGGAGGAGACGGATGATAGCAATGGTGGTGATGCTGCTGCTGGTGGTAAGGTGGCGGTAGTGGTGGTGGTGGTAGTTGCCTTGGACTGCATGACAACCATTGCTGTTTGAGAAAGTTCAGCATTTCAACATTGCAGATAACTCTTCAGCACCTTTTAACTTTCATTGTTAATGATTCTCACTGTCTTATAGGAGTTCCCTTATGCCTTTTCTTTGGGAAATTTTGTGTGGGCTTTGAAGGATGAAAATGTATAAAATGGTTAAACTAAATAATTCTTAGGAAAAACTCCCCCTCCACCATGGAACACAGGAATCCCATTGTGCCCTCCTGATTACACCAAGAACAGGAACGTTAGAGGCTGACTAGACACACCTGACCCCAAGGATGAAATCCAGATCAGGTTCCAGACTCTGAGGTCTGAGGCCAGAGTTTAGTTGATAGGTATAGACATCAGAGAGGCATGGTATAAAGGGAAAAGAGTAAAACACCAGAATCCTCCCTCCTGGGAGCATATGAGGGGAACAGGCCTGTGTAGAAGACTAAGACACGAAGGGACAAAATTAGGCAACAGTTCAGTGCAAATACTATATTATGTCTCTTGAGGAATGAAAATTGTCCTTAAGTTGTAGTGGAGGGTCTAGTCCTCAGAAGAAGTCCTTTTCCCAAGGTCAGGCATTTGGTTAAAGGCCTCCATTCTGTCAGGGGCCTTTCTAAAAGGCATCATTCTCCTTATCTCTGACAGGAGGAACTCATGGCCTTGGTATAAGAGGGCTACTGAACCTTTGAGAACACACACATTTAGATATTGCTGAACTTACTATGTTTGTCTCAGGAAAATGCTGCAATGAAGCTAATGGCCCCTTCTGACCCTGAATCATTGAGTCTGCTCTCAATCTTGCCTGTGGCTAAACTATTGAGTACAAAAGGTGTAGCCTTTTCTCGATAAACACAATGGCAGCCATCCTGACTCACCCTCAGATCTTGTCCCCACCCCCAATTCCTACCCCACCACCAGAACACCACACATCCTCTGACCTGAACCCTGACATAGCAGGTCCCCAGCAGGTAGTGACAATGATGACAACTCACATTGGCTGAGAGGGGGAAAGCTCTGTCATGGGTAAAGAGAGCATGGACAGTGCTCTTGTACCAGGATCAGCTCTGCCACCTACCAGCTCCACAACCTTGGACAGATGACATAAGTTTATCTGCACAGTGCACCTGCCTTGCAGAGTTTGGGAGGAAAAACAAGTTAAGTAAAACCCAGGGAGGCATGCTTGCTAGTGCCTGGGATGGATTATGCACACAGTGAGTAGTGGGCTGCTCTTCAGCTGGGCTCTGTCTGCTTCTCCAGGTGAGTGTGAATGGACAGCATTTTCTTCACTACCGATACCAGCTCCCACTGTCACGTGTGGACACCCTGGGCATTTATGGTGACATTTTGGTGAAGGCTGTTGGATTCCTGAACATCAATGTAAGTTCTCTTGGAGCCAAGACTAAGTCAGTGGTGGCCAGAGGCAAACACAAGGCCCTGGATTCAATCCCCAGTGCTGCCTAAACAGCCCTAGATTGATTCAGTAAATCTGAGGAGGGGCCAGGAATAGAAATATTCCGCCACCAGCTTTAAAAGGTATGAGAAGTCATCAGAGGCTTACAGTGGTCCCAAAGGCTCAGTTTCTTTTTCTTTCTTAACAGCCATTTGTGGAGGGTAGAAGAGAGTATCCAGTTGGATATGTGAGTTTCTTCTATTTTATTGCATTTATTTATTTTGTGTATGTGAATACATGATGTGTCCATGTGTGTGTGGTCAGAGAAGCATTCATGGGTGGAGGTCAGAGAACAATTTGTAAGAGTTTCCTTCCCCCATGTGAGCCCAGGGATGGAACTCATTTATCAGGCTTGATGGCTCACCAGTTGGGATATTTGAGTTTTGGGAGCAATGTTGGACAACTGTGCACAGATGCCAGCTGGCCTCTCTCCTCCCTGCACATGGTTGCACAAGACCCAGCTGACCCCTTCCCTCGCTGCTTCGGATACCAGGAATATGCCTGGCTCCCTTAAGCCCCTGGAGAGCCTGGGTTTGCCTCTCCCCCTCCTACCTCCAAGGCAAGCTTGGGAAGATGGGTTGGAGGAGTCTACTTCCTTCAGAGGCCCATGATTCCCATGTGAAGACACTTTCTATGGAGCTTTAGATCAACCCTGCAAGGTGGCTGTGGTTGGTATCACAGGACAAAAAAAAAAAAAAAAAGGAGAGGAGACCCATGGCCTTGCTGGAGATGTGGGATGACAGCTCCACTGTCCTTCCAACACTCACCATTACTCAGAGATGGGAGAGGGGTATCTCAAGATTCTAAGGATCCTCCACTGGGAGCCCACTCACTTGTCTGCTGCTAGGAGAGGCACAAACTCCTTGTGTCCCCCCAGTGCAAGAAAGTAGGAAGGCCTCTTTGCCCAGGCAAATGCTTACAGTCTGCCCTGCCTCTCTCTCCTTCAGCCCTTCCTGCTGTACAGTCCCAGGCTGGTAAGTGACTCTCTCTCTAGGTCTCTCCTGGATGTTTAGTCCCATTTCTGCTCCCTGACTTCCTGCTTTCCCTTTCTTTGTGGGAAACTGCAGCAGTGGGAGGGCAAGGCAGCTCCAGCTCCATCTTCCCTTACTCTGCAAATGGGTATTTAATACTTCCCTGTGACGGCCCAGTGGTAAGCGATAGGTTAGGGGGATCCAGCAGGTCCCAGACCTCCAGCTGCTCATAGATGGCACAGTGCCAAACCACTGCAAGCCTGTTACATACAGTTGAGAGCACATCTGTGGGAAGTGCCAGGACACTGAGCACTGGCTGGAGGAGCATGAAGAAGCCCTCACAGGTCTACAGCAGGCACTTAGAACATGGATGGGCAGGACTGAGTCTCCTAGCTGCAAGCCTACAGAGAAACTCATCTACCATGGTGTCCCTGGGTCCCTCAGGGTAGCCTGTTGGTGAAGGACCCTGACACCCCTGTGATCACCATCTCAGTCATTTCCATTTTTGTCAGGAGGTACCCTGCTCACGCACTCTTCCTCGGGGTCTCTGGCCCGGGCAAGTTATTGTAGTTCGAGGATTGATCTTGCAAGAGCCGAAAGAGTAAGTGTTTAATTTTAAATGCTTTAATTGTAAATACTTGGCAGTTGGGTCCCAAATTGGGGATATGATCTCCTCCTTTGTCATAATGTTTGGTTTAGGGAACAACCAAGCAATCCTAGAAAGGAAGTGTTCCATGGTATTTGGGAGCCAGAACCTGGAGGCTGTTAGAAAACAGATGCTTCCTGCCTTCTCCTCCAATGGGCACTCAAATCCAGACCTGTAGCTTAGATCCATTTAGACCAGAGGCTTCAGTTCCCTAATGTCACCCTGACTTGATAAGAGATTCTCTCTAGATACCCATCATCTTCATCTGGAGCTGGAGAGATGGCTCAGCATTTAAGAGCACTCCCAATACAAACACGAGGGCTGGAGTTCCGAGGCCAGCACCCATGGAATAAGCCTGGTATACTCATAATCCAGCACCCCTGGAGACAGAAACAGGAGGAGTGCCAGGGCTTGCTGGCCTCTAGTCTCACGGAGAAGCTGGAGCACCAAGCTCAGGGAGAGACCCTGCTTCAAAGGAATAGCAAAAAGAAATAGAGAAGGACACCTGACATCCTCCTCTAGTCCCTGGTATGCATGCATCTGCATGAGCACGCTCACACACACACACACACAAATACGTAGATGTTGCATCATGTAATAATACTGTCTAAGCAAAGAGCATCATTTTCATACTCATTTACGGTTCTATACAAGCAACTTACATGCTCTTTCATTTAATTCTAACAGCCCAAGACAAGAACAACACTCTTATCCTTCCTAATTTACAGATGAGGAAACACACAGAGATTAAGTGAGTCATCCAAGGCTGAAGCTCTGAAACTACAGAGCATAAACTGTGCAGCCTAGTCCTTACCACTAAGCTTGTTGCCAAAGCAATAAGCCACAACCTGACTCGTAAAAATAAATGTTAACCGCTGCTGTGACCAAGCCATCCACATTTCCAGGGGAAAAAACTGAGGCTCCAGCTAGGTAATTACTCTGCCCCCATAGTCTTCCAGTCTGGAATTCAAGTATGATACTCATGTGGTGTCTATGCCTCTATGCTGTTATGCATGCAGGTGTCCTGCCCAGAGCCTGACACAGAAACTTAATTCTTGGGAGCTATCTGATCTTCCAGTGGCTCTCCTGCCTCCAGCCTTCAGAGATACAGAGATGAAGGCATCGGTGGCTGACCCACTTCTCTGCCTGCTTCCTGTAGTTTCACCCTGAGCCTGAGGGATGGGACCACCCATGTTCCAGTGACACTCAGAGCTTCCTTCACAGACAGAACCCTGGCCTGGGTCTCCTCCTGGGGACGAAAGAAGCTGATCTCAGCCCCCTTCCTCTTTTACCCCCAGCGATTTTTTGAGGTAGGTCTAAGCCAAGTAGTCACGTCTCTGCTTCCCATAGTGATCTGGACGACTGTGGGCTGGATCCTGGGATGGATGAGCAGGCCAATACCCTGGGGCTAGGTAGCCAGAGCCAGCCCTGCTGCAATGTTCAGACATTGGCCCATCAGTCCTCTATGCTGATGCCAGAGATGCTGGGCGCAGAATCACAGGCATAATTTATTCAGGTAGACCCAAGTATCAGTTGTCTTTAAAAGCTCCCCTAAGCTTCTAAAGGCCAGGTGTGATGGAGCACACCTGTAATCCCAGCCCTTGGAAAAATGAGGCTCAAGGCCAGCCTCAGCAACATAGGAAGATTGACACCAGCCTGAGCTACATACATGAGACCTGGTCTCAAGTTCCCTTTATGACTCCAATGTGTAGCCAAGGTTGAGAACATTTCCCAATGGAAAGCAGCATTGCAGATGGTGAACTTTAACCCCTGGACCTGTCTGTCTCTGATCACTGTGTCCCCTCAGTGAAGGAGGATCCCTATGGTAGTACACCAGGGAGGGTCTGTCTGGAAGCTCACCATCCAATCAAGCTATTCTTACCAGGTACTGCTCCTGTGCCAGGAAGGAGGGCTGAAGCTGGCACTCAATGGGCAGGGGCTGGGGGCCACCAGCCTGGACCAGAAAGCACTGGAGCAGCTGCGGGAGCTCAGGATCACCGGAAGTGTCCATCTCTACTGTGTCTACTGCTAAGGAGGGCTCCAAGGGCATCCCAACCAGAGAAGAGGAAGGGCAGCTACAGCCAGGACCCCACAGTATGGCCTCACTCGCTGTCCTCATAGGACCATTCACCTGTCACCACCATGTCAGGCCTAGTTCACATCCAGGTCACAAGCTTGAGTCTGCAAGGACATGAGGACTCCAAAGCTAGGGAAGGCTGACAGCTCTGTGCCTCCTCTACCAGGAGTTTCGTGGCCCTATCTTTCTAGACTACACTCAAGGGGAACAAATTTAGTAACTCACAAAGACACACACACTTACTGCATTTTAATTTATCAGTTCTGAAAACAAGGGCCCAGGTCAATGTGGTATCTCTGCACTTGTCTTCAGCATTCCAACTCTGTCTTAGTCCTCAGTCCACCACTCCATGGGGCAGTGTGGCTGGAACTCTATATAGGCCCAGCCACTGAGAAGGCAGGTAGAGTGTGAAAGATGAGCCCCAGGCCTATGAGCAACATACTATCTACACTCATACTTCCATCCACACATGAATTTCATCTACAGTCATTCAATAGTTTGTGAAGACTTTGCCCAAAGTGACAAATACCATAGTTGCTTGCTTGGTTTTGGCCAAAGGAAAATAGCCACACCCCAGAAAAACACACTAATAATGGGACCACATTTTAGTCACCCAACCATATAAACAGCAGTAATCTCTCATAAGGTTATAATATAGTCTAGGTAGGTCAGAAGCCATACCATCTATGTTTGATGTTCACACAATGGCAAAATATTCTAATAATTTCTCAGAATTTGTTCCTGTCATAAAATGATGCATGACTTTATTTAGCAGAGCAAGTAGACCAGGAAAAAGGGAAGACTATTCCTGGAAATAAAATCTAGGTTCATCTTAGATAAGACTTCAGAGTCTTATCTCTTGGAAATGTTTCTGTAATTCCATCTACATGCCCATAGCTGCACCAACTTACTGGGTGGAAGGTGTTGATGAAGGATTCACTATTTTATAACTTTATACTCTAAGCAGAGAACCATTTTCTTCCCTCATCCATTTACCAAGATTGATCATACATCTATCACGGGGGAAAAAAAAGCTCAATAAATACGGGGGTGTGGAGAACTTGTACTGCAAATATGCCTTTATCATAATACAGGGAACTAGAAGTTGGAGAAAAAGATGTCTGAAAGGCAACCCCTAGATACCAAGGCCCTGGATTCTGGGAAGAATCCCGGTCAAGGAAAAGATGGCAGGTTGATAGGTTGAGTGTGAGTAGAGTGTGCAGCTTTCATGGCAGAAACAGAGGGCAGGAGACAGGCCACTTAACCAAGAGCAAAGTCTGTACTGTTCTTACATAGTGTGATGCCTTTCTGATAGTTTAAAGTAAATCCTAGAACTCTGTAGAGAAATTCTTTATTCTCCTTACAACTTTTCTCAGCCCCTTATTATATACCCACAATTATTTTCTTAAAATAAACATGTTAAGTACTGGAGAGATGCTCAGCAATTAAGAGCACTGGCTGTTCCTCCAGAGAACACCCCCACACACAAATTCTCAGCATCCACATGGCAGCTCACACCCATCAGTAACTCCAGCTCCAGAGATCTGATGCCCTCTTCTGGCCTCTACAAGCACTGCATAAATATGGCACACAGACATATGCAAGCAAAACACCACATAAACAAAGGAAAATTAGCCCAGAGGTGTTGATGGTGCAGGCCTTTAATCTCAGCAGTCAGGAGGCAGAGGCTGGCAGATTTCTGAGTTTGAGGTCAGCCTGGTCTACAGAGTAAGTTCCAGGACAGCTAGGGCTACACAGAAATCCTGTCTCAAAAACCCACCCAAAATAATTTTTTTAATAAACTTGTCAGTTCCCACAGATATATATTCATGGTTTGCACTAGCACCTCAGCAGCATTTACTGATATAATCATATTTACTTATCTAATCTAATGAAATAAAATATATTGAGAGAATTCTAATATACTATCTTAAAATTTTTGGAGTAAAACTTATTTGGTGTTGATGAATCTTAACAAATACATTGTGCATTTTACCACTAATATGTATTTTTATTATGTTCATAAATTGGCCTGCCATTTTACTTATTCATATGTATTAGTGGCTTTTCTATTACTGTGATAAACTCCATGACCAAGGCAAACTCTAGAAGACAGGGTTTATTTGGGCTTATGGTTCTAGAGGGCTGAATCTGTCATGGCAGGAAATAGCAAGCATGATGGCAAGATGAGAGCTCACATCTTGAACAGCACAAGCAGGAAGCAGGAAGAGTAACTCAAAATGTCAGGAGATGCTTCCTCCAACCAGGCCACACCTATTAAGCCTCCCCAAGCAGGGCTACCCACAAAGGACCAAGTATTCAAACATCTGAACTCTGGTGGACATTCTCATTCAAACCACCAAATCATGCACATGTTAGACTTAAATTGCTGTGACAATTTAAGAAACAGTTTAAGGAGAAAGGATTTACGTTGGTCACAGTTTTAGAGTTTTCCACACATCATGGTGGAGAGCACACGGGACAGCCAGGAAGCCCAGAGTGGGGGTAGGGTGTGCCCACACTTGCCAACTTGCTCTTTCTTTTTCCTCCATGGCTCTCAACCTATTGGACCATGTGCCCTCATTCAGGTCAGGCTTTTCATGCTTAATAAATCCTCATAGACACACAGGGAAGCACGCTTTACTTAACTTCCAGACATAGCTTAACAGAGTGTTAAGATGCAATGAAATACTCAAAAGTTGACATAAAAAGAGACAACAGCAGATGATAGATACTACTGTGGGTACCCTTAAAGATGGCTGCACCCCATCTTGGCACAAGACAGAGTTCAAAGCTGTCAGCAATCATAAAACCTAAAGGTCAAAGGTGTGGCTACAGAAGGATGTTTTGGCTATCTTAGTCTAAGTAACAACAGACTGACTCTCAAGGCTAGGGAAGGAGAAGTTGAATCTGAGGTGTAGCTACTCCTGACCGCAAGGCTAGGGAACAAGAAGTTGGAGCTAAGGTGTGGTTATTGAACCCTTAGAATAAGTGAGGAAGAAAAGTCTGTTTGTTCCGTATGCATGATACTGTGTTCCCCTTTTTGGATAAGGAATATAAGAGTGGTGAAAAATAAACTCGTGGCATTTCAGTATTGACTGATCTGCCCTCCTGAACTTTATTCTGTCTCTCTGTCTTTCTTTATTGTCCATAGCTAGCCTTTCCCTCATCCTCACACCCCCCTTCAGGTATGGACTTGGGACCATTCGGCTGGCTCCGATTGCAGCCCCACAAAGATAGCCCCTGACATACTTACTACCTTGCCTTCCAGATAGAGGCATTAAATCCTCTGGAAGTTTCCATGATAATATCTATAGTACACAGACAGCTCCCTTCTATAAACATCTTGGGCACGCCAAACATCAGAGTTTGTCTTGAGAAGGCGTTCACGGGAAAAGGCGCTTGCTGTGGAAAAGTTTGTTTTCCCTGCTAGACTGGTCTTTGAGACCCAGGATGCCTGTGCAGGGCCCAGTCCTGCAGGGTCAGCCTCACCCTTGTGTAGCGGAGGTGTTTGGAGACTTACATGTGGTAGCGAACTATGGAGTGTTTGGACTCAGCTAAGGGAGGAATCCCCTGCTCAACTCTGTCATCCTGTCTCTCTCCAATCTTCTCTACCACATTTGTGCTCCAGTAAAAGCACAGAGTAGCCAGTCATAGTGGCAGAGGCAGGTGGGTCTCTGTAAGTTCAAAACCAGCCTGGTCTACATAGTGAATTTCAGAATAGGCAGGGCTACAGAGAAAGAAAAAAATTCTATCTCAAAAAAAAAAAAATGTAATACAAAATAATAAAAGTGCTGTCTAAGGCTGAAGAGATGGTTCAGTGTTTAAAAGAAGTTCCTGATCTTGCTGAGAATTCTAGCTCAGTTCCCAGCACCCACATTGGGCAGTTCATATCCACCTGGAACTCTAGTCCTGAGGATCTAATGCCACTGGCCTCCAAGCACAAATGTGCACAGAGCCACAACAGAAGCACACACATATGCATAATGTAAAAATAACCCTTCAGGAAATAAAAGTGCAGTGCAACCTTAGCAATCTAAACCCTGAAACCCCTTCCATCAGCCTACAAACCGATTCACAATGGTTCCAAGGACAAACCGGCTGAACTCAGTGGGGTGCAGCTCAGTCCCCCAACAACTAGACTAAGGCTGGAAATAAAATCTAGACTCACCTTAGAATGGACTTGGGACTCTAACTCTTGATAGTGTGTCTGTAATCTCCTTGGCATGCCCAGAGCTGTGAGCTGTGCCAGTCACTGGGTGAAAAACACTAATAACAAATTCCCTAAAGGCAGTTCAGAGCAGGGTAAAGAACCTGCTCTCTCTGGCCAGGAGACACAATCTCACATCCTAGGGGCAGAGCATGAAAACTCTTATAAAGTTTTTGTGTGCCCAGTACTGATTGCTAAACGGTGAGTTTCTTCCTTAAAAATTGAAAAGGATGGACTGGAGAGGAGGCTCAGCAGTTAAAAATATGTACTGCTTTTTCAGAGAACCTGGGTCTGACTCCAGCACCCACATCAGACAGCTCACAATTGTCTGTAACTCCAGTTCCAGGGAATCTGATGTCTTCTAGCCTCAGCAGACACCTGCACACATGTGGTGCATATAAACTCACACAGACACACACACACAGAGAGAGAGAGAAATAATAAGTTAGTCCTTTTTTAAAACTGCAAAAGAGTTTTATGTAGGTAATACTAAAGGTATGTAGGTAGTACTAAAACAGAAACATACACATGTGCAAACAAGTGCTATGTTTTACCAATGTGGTTTGTGATGGGGAAAATTGTTTATATAGCAACAAAAGAGGAAAGAATATATAGATTTCAATTTATGTAATTGAGCGACTAAAACAAATAATTTTATAATCTTGTATACAGAGATCAATTTTCGTCTTCCCTGTTTGCTTTGTTCTCTAGGCATCCCCAGATAGCCTCTTTCCATAAAGAAAACACCCTGAGTCACTTAGTACATTCCCCTGCTGCCTGACAAACAAAAGAGCAGCAGTTGAGATGGTCCCCTGAGAACTTCCCAGTTTCCCTGCAGAGGGAAACACACCCCAGGGGCAGACAGCTGCCATGGTGCTAACAGAGGTGACTAGAAAGATAATCTGTTTTTAATTGAGCTATACATTTTCCCCACCCTCCTTTAGAAAAAAAAAATCTTTATCTCTGGTCATTGGATATTTGTTTAATAAGGGCACTGAATTGCTCATGACTGTGTCAGAGGATCAGCAAATGGCAATTAATTTCAGGGGATCAGCCCACCAGGAAACAAAGCAGTGATGGGTGAAACTCTGGATAGGCAAGACCTCAGCCCCAGAATGCTTCTTGCTCCTGCTGAGTCTTTGGTGTTTGCTGCAATTTTTCTCTGGTATCTAGCGTGCTGTGAATGGGTGTGGGGAGATCCCCACTGCCTTTGATGTAGTATGATCATCTCTTTGAAATACTCCCGTTCTACTGTGCACTTTTACCTGTGGATTATAATGAAGATGATTTCTTCTTAAGTTGTACTGTCTAACTGATAATAATGAATGTTATTTTAAATAGAGTTTTGATGACTGAAAATAAGCATAAGGAAGTAGGGCCTATGAGTTTCACTTTGGGAAGTGCATGGACTTTCTTAAGGTTTAGGTTAATGATCTGAAAAACAGTTGAGTCCCAGGAGCCAAATCTTGATGTTGAGAGATGTATTCACAGGTTTTGATGTGCATCATAGCTGTAGCAAAGCCTTAAAATGACTTCAGGTTAAGATGTTTTGATAATAGCTTTGAGGTTAAAAAAAAAAAACTTATAAAACAATCTAAAGTTTAGGAAGGCACATAGCTGAGTGAGGAACTTGTTAGGGTCAGGGAACAAGAACAAAGCAGCCCAATTATATGCTGATGTGCCTTTCTTGCTAGGATGGGATGATGATTAATTCTTTGTAGGTCTTAAGTTTGTATATTTTTGATTTTCCTTTTCTTAGAGCATACTTGATATTTACTGTCTTTGTATATAGTTTTGTATCAAGTCTAAATCTTTTCTTTAAACTAAAAGGGGAATTGTAGTGAGCTATCCACCCTGTCCTCACCTGTTGCACTGACCACGCCCATTGGGAGTGGGGACAGGTGCGGGTGTAACCTGGGAGGACTAGGTCTGGGGTCTAGAACCTCAGAGGCTCTCTTTTGCTTCCTGATGGGGACAGATAGCATCCAGAGGCATCCTTGGGACAGGAACCTGCTGGCATTCATCTGTCTCTGTTGTAAGTTATTGCTCCCTGAGTAAACATCCATCAGCTTATCTGTTTTCCCCAACACTTATTTACTCATGATAATTCCTTGTGCCCACTGCTGCCCTTAGCTCCCTGATATAAAAACTGTTGATGACTTAAAATAGAGTTGACTAGTTCTTTTTCATATATATAATAGTTTAGCTTTGTGATTCTTCTAAGATTTCTTATAAGATTACCTATTGAGATAAATAATAAAGTGATTGGTCCTTCCTCTCAGTGTCCTAAGTAGGGTGCCTGCCAGTACCTGTAAGACTGGGGACAAGGGCAGGCTGGTCTGGATTCTAAAAGAGGCCAGCCTCTGGGTGCTGGGCCAGCTGCTTGATGCTAACATGTGAGCAATAAAATCCTGCCTTGAGCAAACCTTTTGCATAACACCCAAAAGGACTGAGGGTTGTGTCTTCATTCCACATCCAGCTCACAGTAGCACACCCAGCCCTGTGTCCCAGTGATGATCACCTATTTAATGGGTTCTCTGTGTGTGTTGAAGTCATTGTGAAATGGATTCCCACTACTACCTGAAGGGGTAGCTAAGCTGAACGCATTCAGAAATGTCAACAACTGCCATGACCAAGCAGAACCCCATGAGCAATGACTGTGATCACAAAGGTCACTTAGCCACAGCAGAGGACAAATTCAGTTCTGCAGTCCCATGGGGCTGTCTTTCTGTTTCATACTACAGGCCCTGAGCAGGTTTGGGAGGCAGGAGAGAATAGGACCAGGTGAGAAGCCAGGTTGGTTCTGTCTCATCACTGTCGATTCAGGCAGTAATGGTGCAGGCCTTTAATCCCAGCACTTGGGAGGCAGAGGCAGGTGGATCTCTGAGTTCGAGGCCAGCCTGGTCTACAGAGCTAGTTCCAGGACATTGAGGACCACACAGAGAAAACCAAAAGAAAAAAGGAAAAAAAAAAGAAAGAAAAGGAAGGAAGGGAAGGAGGGAGGGGAAAAGGGAGGGAGGGAGAAAAGAGAGAGTATTGTGAATTTTGATTAAAAATAATGGCTTAAAGTTTCTATTGCTGGGAAGAAGCATCAGGATCATAGCAACTCTTATAAGGAAAACATTTAATTGGGATGGCAGCTTACAGACAGACATGGTGCTGGCTACATCTTGAGCAGAAGGCAACAGGAAGTAAGTGACACTGATTGGTATCCTGAGCATAGGGGACAGTGCAGCCTGGCACATTTTATCTTTTTATTGACAACTGTCAGATACTTCTTTGTAACAGCTACTTTGGGTGGTATATAATGGCCCCCATAAGCTCATAGGGAGTGGCACTATTAGGTGTGGCTTTGTTGGTGTGAGTATGGCCTTGTTGGGGGAAGTATGTTACTGTGAAGGCAAGCTTTGGAGCTCATACATGCTCAAGCCATGCCCTCTGTCTCAGTTCACTTCCTGTTGCCTGCAAATCAAAATGTAGAACTCTTAGCTCCTTCTCCAACGCTATGCCTGCCTGCATGATACCATGTCCTGCCATGGTGATAATGAACTAAACCTCTGAACTGTAAGTCACCTCAATTAAATGTTTTTCTTTATAAGAGTTGCCATGGTCTCTTCACAGCAATAGGAAGCCTAAAACTTGTCAACCAAGCACCCAGAGAGGGTGACTGGTCACTACAATGGCAGTCCAGACATAAGATGACTTGAAGAAACTACACTCCAGCTATGAGGTACACTACAACCTGAGCTGCTGGAGCCACCAGGGCCACTACAGGAGGCTTTGCTCCAGGGATCTCCCAGAAAGCTTGTGACCGGTCCTTATGCTGGGTCAATGGTTGAAACTGTGTACTATTCGGTAATGGATGGGAATTTTAAGGCATCTACATGTGCCTTGCCCCTTTTCTAGCTACAGAAATAGCCTGTTTTCCCATCCATATATAATAAAGTCTCCTGGATGGCCCTTTTGTCTTCTTGTGGTCTTTAATACAGAGAATGCATGCTGGGCTGACTACAAAAACACATTCTCTCTTGGGGACTCAGGGTTGAGTATGTAAGTGATAATGAGCTGAGGTGAGAAGAGATGGGCAGATGGAAATACAGGACCGGTGTGAGAAAGTAGGAGTACCGAGGAGGAAGGGCCAAGGCAGACGGATCTTGTGCTGGTTGTTTGTTCTCAACGTGACACAAGCTGTAGTCATCCAGGAAGAGAAAACCTCAGTTAAGAGAATTCCTCTATAAGATTGGCTGTAGGCAAGTCTGAAAGGCATTTTCTTGATTAATGATTGGTGTGGGAGGGCCCAACCCACTATGGATAGTACCCCTCCTCGGCAGGTGGTCCTAGGTTGTATAAGAAAGCAAGCTGAGCAAGCCATGGAGAGCAAGCCAATAAGCAGCACTACTCCATGATTTCTGCTTCAGTCCCTGCCTTGAGTTCCTGTTTCAGCTTCTGCCAATGGACTGTGACCAAGGAGCTGTAATCCAATAAACCCTCTCCTCCCCAAGTTGTTTCTAGTCTGTATCACAGCAATATAAACCTGACTAGAATAGAGCTGGAATGCAAAGGGACATTGGAAGACCAGCCACATATATCTTGAATTTCTCTGTGGAAAGGGATTGTACTGGGGATTGAACCTAAAACCTCATGCATCCCGGGACAGCACTCTACCACTGAGCTACTGTCCCAGACCTAGAGGATTTGTGTTTCACACTCCACTGAACATCCACAGAATCCAGCTCCTGAGTTTCAAGGTGTCATGTTGGATCAAGTTCTAGGCCAGGAGCCGTAGTTATCTGAGGTTTCTTGAGATAACAGTGTTGGACTCTACTTCCTGCAGTTCAAAGGGTGCTTCAGCAAAGAGAAAGAATAAGCAGGGAAGACAACTGTCTAGAACCGAGCCCATAGCTTCCCTCCAGAGACTTCACACTAGGTAGCTATGCAGCATCCTTCCAGCAAAGCTCCTTTCTTGTGCTTTATTGTATGCTGTGGAAATAGCCTAATTATAAAACAGTAGAATCTATGAATTAAATTTCAAAGCCTCTAGCAAAAGAAGAGCCCCTAAGGATGGGTAGTCATCCAACTCATTGCTTCTGTTTCTTGTTTCTGGAGAGCATGACTCCAATGAGGCCAAAGGCTGCCAAGCCCACTCCAACAATACCTACTGTCTTGACAGCATCTCTGACCTGCAACAGAAAAGAGAGTGAGTTGGGCTCTGTGCCAAGAATGTGGGACAGGCTATTCATTGCACAGCGTCATTCAGCTCATGGCACCTCACATGCCCCCTTCACTTCCAGTGGCCAAACTTGAAAGCCAACAAATGCTGGCAGGAGCAATGGGAGAAGAAGGGCTTGGGCTTGGGGGGCGGGGTAAGAAATGGACAGAACCAGCTGGCCTGGAGCTTACCTGGACCCAAAATGAATTCAGCCCCAGACTATTTAAAGCACAAAAATCTTTGTAAGGCATCTATGGAAAGAACAGTAATATGGCAGCAGGATAGTGAAGATCCTGGCCAACCAATGGACAAGTGCAAAGTCAGGAAGAAATTACAATTGAGAAATCAAAAATAAATCTGACCTCTATGACACAAAGACCTCATGCCATGTTTCCAGTGTCTGGGCCTGCCAAGTATGGATGTGTTCCCTTTAAAAGGTTGGGGTTTTACTGGCTTTTGTTTGTTTATTTGTTTTGCTGTTTACTTATTTTTCTCTTGTGGAGTCAGGGTCTTTCTATGTAGAACCTTGAACTCAAGATTCTCCTGCTTCAGCCTCCTGAGCAACAGGGTTAAAGGCATGACAACACACACAGCTCTTTCTTTGTATGGATTCTGGTCTCTGCCTAGAGCCCAGAGTCAAAGCATGGTTGCCCCTCTTCCATAGTCCTCCTTTTTTTATTACAAAAAAAAAAAAAAAAAAAAAAAAAAAAAAAAAGGCCAGGCGTCGGTGGCTCATGCCTTTAACCCCAGCCTTCTGGAGGCAGAGGCAGGAGGATCTCTGTGAATTCAAGGCCAGCCTGGTCTACAGAGCTAGTTCCAGGACAAGCTCCAAAGCAATACAGAGAAACCCTGTCTCAGAAAAGAAAAAAAAAGTCTCATGTAGTTCAGGCTGGCCTCAAACTTGAGCTCACTATATAGTGAGGTGTCTTAATAAGAGTTTCTATTGCTATGATAAAACACCCTGAACAAAAGCAACTTGCAGAGGGAATGGCTTATTGTATCTTACACTTCCAGGTAACTAATAAAGATTACTCAGAAACTGATATACACCTAAAAATGATACTCTAGGCATCACAGTATACTCAGCTGATCTCAAATTGTTCAGAATTAATCACAGGGCTCAAATCTCTTACTTTGTAACTGCATATTTGCTGCCGGCTAGAGCACAGTATGAATAAGATGTACCTAGCTAGATATAAAACATTTGTCTTGTATTATAATGATATGTGGTGAGGTCAGTGATGTCGAAGGAGTGGAAGAGGAGAGAAACTAAAATGTTAATTATTCTTGGAAAATGATTAAAGAGAAATTATTTGAAACTGCTCATGCTTGAATGCATTAGAACTTACATAAATAAAGATGGCCTGAGCTAGTCAGGCCATCAGTTTGAGACAACCAGTGTTCAGACTCCTCATTTTTTGCCGACTTCACACATCCTTCCTGCAGCATAAGACCCTATTGGAGCTGGACTCTGACATCCTGCCCTCCCCTCCATTCCTTACCTGGTGCCTATCTTCTGTAGGCCCTGTCTTCCTCATTGTTGACCTAGTTTGGATGGAAGTTTGAACGGTACTATCAAAGAGAAGTCTGACTGCTGACTAGGCTCAAGCCATGGTGTTATGGAGCTACCTTGCTAAGGGAGATGGATCAGTAGTAAAGTGCCTGCCTTGTAAATGCAAGTACCTGAGTTTGAGCTCCAGAACTCTGTAAAATGCCAGGTGTTATGCTCAACCCAGATACAGTGGGAGGGCTTCCATCCTGACCAAATGATGTAATGGACTTGATTCTCCCCCATGGGAGGCCTCACCCTCTCTGAGGAATGAATGGGAGAGGGAATGGGGACTGGTATGTAAAATAAGATTGTTTTTAATTTAAATTTAAAAATTAAATTTAAAAAGAGAAAACATAATTACAAGAAACACACACACACACAAAGCCAGGTGTGGGGGTATGCTTATAAAATCCCAGTGCTAGAAAATGAGACACATTGATACCTGGGGCTTGCTCATCAGTCAGCTCAGCTTAGCTGGCAAACTCCAAGCCTGTGAGAAATCTTGTCTTTTTCTTTATTTGTTTATTTAAAAAAAAAAAAAAAGAGGGACAGTACCTAAGAAATGACACTGGAGGTAGACCTTTTGCCTCTACATACACCCAGGAACACACACACACACACACTTCTATCCAGTGTTTTCCTTGCAGTTCTATATCAGGAGGGGTAAAATGGTCCACGGATAATGAAGGAAAAGCAACATGACCCTCATTCTTTCCTGAAGCTCATATTGTGAGAACAATAGCAAAATAACGCTGATACCACTGGTTCAGACAAAAGATACTTTGTTAAGGCACCCAACAATGACTCCACTGTTCATGGTCACACTTTGTACCCAAAGGCAGTGATCAGTATATGAATACAATATCTAGTTAGTCCTGGTGGTGATAAGATACAGTCAGATCAAACATAGGATGAGGACAACGCTATCTGTAGCCTGCTAAGTGAGGCTGGTTAAATGAACCCACTCATCAGATCTCTCTGCCACTCACTAACACAGCTGCATCTGACTGCTAGGGAAACAGGGCACCGGTTTAAAGACTCAAAAAGATTTGTTAGGTGAAATGAATGGCCATAGGCAGGTGACTTGAGTTCTAGAAGCTTCTTTTCCTCATCTACAAAATGGGGCTAATAGGGCTTACCTCCAAGGCTCTAAGAGCATCATCACAGGGGTGGACTGGTCATCATCACTATGTGCCTGACTTCCCACTCTGAGCATGACACTCTCGGGGACAGGAAGAATACGCCTAGGCTATTTTTGTACTGTTTGAAACTCTGTCTCCACCCACACTCACATCCAGTCACTGTCACAGCTGGGGAAATGACCTGGCACCTAAAGTCAGGTGCAGGGGCTGAGGACACACCTGGTCACTTCGGGGAACTCCATAACGAAGTTGATTCACAAAGTGCTCACAGTTCTCACTGGTCAGCTTGTAGAGAACCTCCTGCCCCACCAGCTCCTCCGCCTGCTGGATGATCTTGTTTGGAGGGAGTGGGGTGTACTCGCTGTCATGTTTGTTATTGACCTGGTACTTGTCCCTCCCGGCCACATCGCTCAGCAGTTCTTTCTTCACTATGGCCTTGTCGGTCAAAGCAGACATAATGCTGGCTGGCCCAGCTCCTGGAAATTCACCTGTGGATCAAAAAAAAAAAAAAAAAAAAAAAAAAAAAAAAGCAGAGAGGAGTTGTTCCTGGACAAGGCCACCACAGGGATTCTATACTAGCCTACTGCTCGGCATCCAGGCTTAGCACCATCCACAAGGGATTAGCAAGGTAGAAATAGGTGAGGCTTTAGAAGAGGTTCTTACGGTACCTGAACCATTATCAAGATGGAGACTAGTAAAGTGCCACGATTTACTGTGATGTTTTAGTGGTAGCAGTGCTAGTGAGGGATGAGACAGGGTCTCACTCAGTGATGCAAGATGGTCTAATCTGTAAATTACTATGTGTCCAGCCTGGTGTCAAACTCTCAACAGCTTCATATGCTGGGATAATGGCATGCACCTTCACCCCCTGACTACTGGAGTTTTTCTTTAACCAGAAGATGTTCTACACTATAACCACTTCTTGATTATGCAAATATGCACCAGGAGCTCCCTATCTTTCTAGAAAAAGTGAATGTAACCTACTGACTCCACATGGGCTACAGTTCCTTGACCTCACCAGGTTGATGGCCTCAGGAGGGGAGGCTGGTCTTCTAGATTCCCACCCTTCTAGGAAAAGAGAGAGAGAGAGACCAAAACTCTCCAGAGGATGTGGTGGTAGCCCTGGCCAAGGTCCTCGGGTGAGAAGAGACAACAAAGGAGTCACTAGAAGAGAAGGAACTTGGGTTCTGTAGGGCCAGGCTGGGCAAGTGAAGATTAGCTGACAGCACAGAGCCAGGGTTTCCTAACCCAACGACCCATACCATGTGAATGAACACTGGCTATGATGGCTGGAAAGGAGCTACACACAAGAAGTGGACCCAGGAGCCCATTGAGCATCACAAGAATGGTTCCCTGCCAGGAGCAGGGCCTCCTGGGTACAGAAACAGCACCTGGCAAGCAGGACAGGACCAGTCTTTAAATGTGACACAGGGAAAGCATCAAGCAATGACAGGAAGGAAAAGCAAGTCAAGTAATCCTTCTTCCATGAAGTTTTAGAATAGGCTGAACTCTTCTAGTATATAAAACACTTGAAACAGGCATGATGGTATGCTCTCTTGATCCCAGAACTCATGTGACATACAGGCAGATCTGTGTGAGTTCAAGGGCAGCCTGGTCTACAAAAATGATTGACTAGCCATTTTAAGATTAGGAGCCATCTTTTTACATGGTCAAAATAAGTTCATTCCTGATTTCTGTAAACTTGGGTTTGACCTGTATTGACTCATTTTCTGGAACCTGACATGTTCTACACCCTACACCCAGACCTCCAACCTAAAATGATAAGATGTTCTGCCAAAAAGTTTAAAATGTTCAGCCAAATTCCTTTACAACCAAAATGCCTGTAGAAATCTCCCAACCCTTAAACACCCACTAGCCTTGAAGTTTGGGGAAACTATATAAACCTGTGCTCAATGCTATTTTCTCAAACCCCACTTTAGGGGGACAGCCCTATCTGACAGAAAGAAAACCTTGCTTAATTTGACCAAAGAATTTGTTTAATGGCCTTTACTCTCATTCTGTGGGATTAACATAAAGAGTTTCAGACCACCTAGGATGACATAGTGAGACCCTGTCTTTGTTTTGTTTTGTTTTGAAACAGGGATGTAGCCCTACCTGTCCTGGAACACTCTATGTAGAACAAGCCTTGAACTCACAGCAATGGAGATCTGTTGTTTTAGCTTCTTTGGCACAGTAGCTATGCTTTAATCTACTGCTATTTCAGCCAGCAATTTCAAATCCGCTGTTACCGGCCTGCTTCTCTGGCAGTGGCCAGGTCACTCAATCTATAGCCTGGCACAAATTCTGTTCCCACAGGCACCAGTTCTGCCATTGCCACTAAAGGTCTTTAAGGCTCATCATTCTATTTATAAATAAGACTCGAGATTCAGAGGCTGGGGTGAAAATCTGCTAGCTCAGAGAGGTTGAGGAGCAACTAACTGACCTCTCCTTGCTGGCATCTCCCAAAGTGTGCATCCTGCTCCACCAAACAAAAAAGCCCCGCTACTCTAAATCCCTCCCTATTCCTTCCAGTGGAAGTTCTCAGGGGCAGGGCCTGGCTATTCACAGGCCTGAGGGGCTTACACCCTGGGTTGTAAGGAATAAAGCTCAAAAACCATCCTGACACATCAGACTGCCTTCACATAAATTAGAAACAAATGGATAATCACAGAGCAAGGAGAACCCAGGGACCACCTTTTGCCCACAGCGCCACACATCCTTTCCCAGTCTCTATGGCCAGCACAACGAAGACTCTGGTGTTCTTACTTGGGGGAGCCAGGTGGATCACATATCCATCACCAACATAGATGGCCCAGTGTCTGTATAAAGGGCGGAAAATCTCAATCAGGTCTCCAGGCTTTGGTTCTGGCTGCAAAACCAAGAATAGGACTATTAGTGATGAGACCAGAGCAGACTGAACTGAGAAGGTGCAGCCCCTTAGTCCCACCAATCGGCTCCATTCGGCAAACCCATGTGGATGCAGGCCCTATAGGTCTGATGGTGGCTTACCTCACAAGGCTACGATCCAGGCCTGCAGGAAAGATGCCATCCCCACCACCACCATCACACACACACACACACACACACACACACACACACACACACATCATGATTTAAAACTTCAAAATGAGGGCTGGAGAGATGTCTCAGCAGTTAAGAGTGCTTACTGCTCTTGCAGAAGACCTGGGTTAGGTTCCCAGCATTCACATGGTGGCTCACAACCATCTGTAACTCCAGTTGCCAGGAGATCCTATGCTCTCTTCTGATCTCCACAGATACAGCATGAAAGTGGTACACATAAATACATGTGTGTAAAACACTAAAAAACATTAAATCTGAAAAAGAAACCTACAAAATACATGACACTGCAAACATGCTCAAAAGTACATGGCTCAGAAAGTCACAGGCTCTAGCTGAGGACCTACTACTGTTGTTTTGATAGCTTTCTTCCAAATACTTGTGTTTATACACATAGACAGAAGCTTCTTCTGCAGTGGGCAGAAGTCAATGCAGAGACTCATAACTTGACAAAGGGTTAAGAATAAGCAGCTATTGAGTGCTCAGCCCTAATGGGACATTTATGTCATCACCAACCCACCCACCTGAGGTTCAGGGAATGTGGCAGAAGAACTAGAGGATAGAGAAGAGTGCTGTTGTCATTTGGACATGATGACATGGCCACCTGAAGAGCAAGGGGACAAGACCAGTCAGCATTCCAGCAGGCATCACCAATTAGATTTAATGAGTTACCAAAGACAGAGAAGAAAGACAGAGAAGAGGCAGAGAGAAAGAAGGAAAGAAAGGGCCGTGTTGGGGGAGTGTCAAGGGGAAGTTGGAGCCGGATATAATCCAGATACATTGTATACATGTATGCAATTATTAAAGAACAAATAAAGGACATTCCTTAAAAACTGCTATGCTAAAAAGTCTCTTCATTACCTTTGTCTTTTTAGTGCTCTTGCTACAAATATTACTTACTGATCTCCTCCTGCTCAAGGTGCTGAGGCAGGATGATCAAGAATTCCAGGCTAAGAGGAAGGCAGATCTCTTAGTTCGAGGCCAGCCTGGTCTAATAGCTAGTTCCAGGACAGCCAGAGCTGTTACACAGAGAAAACCTGTCTTGAAGAAGGAAGGAAGGAAGGAAGGAAGGAAGGAAGGAAGGAAGGAAGGAAGGAAGGAAGGAAGGAAGGAAGGAAGGAAGGAAGGAAGAGAAGAAGGGAAGGAGGGAGGAAGGGAGGGAGGGAAGAAGGGAGGGAGGGAGGGAGGGAGGGAGGAAGGAAGGAAGGAAAAGAAAAGAATTCCAGGTAAAGAAATGGCTTAGTAGTTAAGAACACTGACTGCTCTTCCAGAGGATTCAGATTCAATTCCAGCACCTACAAAGTGGCTTACAACTGTCTGAGTCCAGTCCAGAGAGACCTAATGCCCTTTTCTGCCCTCCCTTGGGGACCAGGTACCCATATGATACACAGACATACGTGCAGCCAAAATACCCATACACATTTTTAAAAGTAAATCATTTTTAAATGACTTCTATGCTAGCCTGGGCCACCTCCTTCCTCACCCCCCAACTCTGAAAAAAAAAACTTATTACAATGTAAAGACAAAAAAAGCATTTAAAATGTAACAGTTCAGCCTACAAAATAATTATTTACAAAATAATAAGTAAAAGGCTGTTCCCCCAAAGCTACACACATTATAATTTTTTTACATGACATTCCAAAATAGGCATAAATATAGAACAGAAAACTGACCACCAATCCTGAGGGGCTGGAGTGAGGAATAGCACCACAAGAAAGGAACATGGGAAATATTACGGTCATTAAACTGTACTGTTCTACAGTTTTTCTGGCTCTCGTATACAAAGTAATGTAATCACATTCCCCACCCCCACTACCTTCTCTTGTCCCCTCCCCTTTCCAGAAGACCCCCTTTGTCGCCCCAGCTGGTCATTTTCTATTTTCATGTCTTCATTTTGTGCAGGTCTCATGCAGGGGGTCACAGCTGCTGTACGTTCATGACATGCATGACACAGTGACCATGCCATTCAAAAGACACACGGTGCTCTAAAGCACCCCTCCCCACCCTCTGGCTTTACAGTCTTTCTACCCCTTCTTTCTCAACGTTCCCTAGTGCTTGGAGTGAGTGACATACCTATCCCACTAGGACTGAGCACTCAACAGTCACTCAGAACTTAGACCAGTTATGAATCTCTCCTTTGACTGTCACAGTGACCTAAGGCTGTGAGTGCATCTGTCCTGACTGCCACAGTGACCTAAGGCTGTGAGTGCATCTGTCCTGACTGTCACAGTGACTTAAGGCTGTGAGTGCATCTGTCCTGACTGACACAATGACTTAAGGCTGTGAGTGCATCTGTCCTGACTGACACAGTGACCTAAGGCTGTGAGTGCATCTGTCCTGACTGCCACAGTGACTTAAGGCTGTGAGTGCATCTTCTCTGTGCCTTGGGGCAATGATTGGCTTGTATCAAAATGGAACTACATATTTTAAAAAGTAAATTGTATATTGAGGTTTGGTTTCGTTTTGTTCTTGAGGCAGGGACTCGCTTAGCCCTGAAACTTGCTATGTAACTGAAAGACAACTTGTGCTGGTTTCCTATACCCACCTCCCAAGCATTAGAATTTCTTGTGTACATCATCGAAGCCTGCCCTCTTTATGCTGTGTTTTGTTCTGTTTTGTTTTGTTGTTTTTCAAGACAGGCTGTCCTGGAACTCACTTTGTAGACAAGGACTGCCTCTGCCTCCCGAGTGCTGGCATTAAAGGCATGTGCCACCACTGCCCAGCTCTCCTGATGCTGTTTTAACTGAAGCTATTATCTTTCCCATATTATTACTTAATTAAATTACACGTTAATTTTTTAAAATATAATTATTTGAGGGTAGTACTATACGCATTTAATCGCAGTACTTGGATAGCAGGGGACCTCTGTGAGTTCAAGGGCAGCCTGGTCTACATAGTGAGCTCCAGGCCAGCCAGGAGTACATAATGACCCTGTTCTGAAAGCAAAACAAAACAAAAGAAGTAATAATGGAGAACTAGAGAGAAAGTTCAGTGGTTAAGAGTACCTACTGCTCAGCTGGGCATTGCTGCTCACGCCTTTAATCGCAGTACTTGGGAGGCAGAGGCAGGAGGATCTCTGTGAGTTCGAGGCCAGCCTGGTCTATAGAGCTAGTTCCAGGACACAGGCTCCAAAGCCACAGAGAAACCCTGTCCAAAAAAAAAAAAAAAAGACCTGCTGCTCTTGCAGAGAGTCAAATTCAGTTCCCAGCACACACTTCAACCAGGATCTGACACTGCTGTTCTGGACTCCACCAGTCCTGATCTGCAAGTTCACAAGGTTTTGTATACTTTGTAAATAACTCTTCTCTCTCTGCAACAGTAGGGTTGAGGAGTTGCAATAGAGACTATAGCCTGCTAATCCTAAAGTGTTGGGGCTGGGAGACAACTCAGTCACTAAAGTGTTTACTTTGCCTGACATCCATTTGAATCCATAGCATCCACATGAAAAAGTCAGACATGGTGATGTGTGCTTTCAAGTGAATCTCTTGGGTTTGCTGTCCAAGCAATCACAATCAAGCCTACTTGGCGGCCCACTCCAGGCCAGTGAGAGATACTGTCTCCAAGGGGGGGGGGAGACACTGAATGTCTTAGGGGTTTTTGTTGCTGTGAAGAGACACTGTGACCACAGCAACTCTTACAAAGAAAGCATTTAATGGATGTGACAGCTTACAGTTTCAAAGGTTCAGTCCATTATCATTATGACAGAGAGCATGGTGGCATGCAGGCAGACATGGTGCTGGCTACATTTTGGCCAGAAGGTAGCAGGAAGTCAATTGATTGTCACACTGGGTGAAGCTTAAGAAAAGACCTCAAAACTCACTCCCACAGAGACACACTTCCTCCAACAAGAACATACCTACTCCAATAAGGCCACACCTCCTAATAGTGCCTCTCCCTTTTAAGGCTGTTTTCTTTTTTTCTTTTCTTTTTTCTTTTTTTCCTTTTCTTTTCTTTTTGCAGTTTTTGTCGTTTTATTTAAACACAAATGAAACATGCACACCAGCTATGTTCTTCTTTCCTTCGATGCATAGCCTGGTGTTGGGATTGGTGACTCTGACGGCCAGCTGTGCTGCTCTTTCCGGTTCTTGGGGAAAATGTTGCGAGCAATCTCAGCACATCAGCAGCACTTCCAGCTCCTTAACACTGTGGACCAGAAACTTCCAGAAGCCGCTAGGCAGCATGCCCCTGGTTTTCTCATTGCTCCCTTCACCAATGTTGGGCATCAGGATCTGGCCCTGGAATCTTCTCCACAACCTGTTTTTGATACCTCTGGGTTTCCTCCAGTTTCGCTTAATTGTAACATATTAGTCTGAGTGGTGTGGGATCTTCCTGGTCCTCTTCAACCATAATGCCACAAAAGAGATGGCAGCCACCTTACAGGTAGCACCAAGGAAGGGGGCCATTTTCTTTCAAACCACCACACCAAAGGAACAATATCCAAGACTATAGTTGTGGAGCTCTGAGGAGGTTTTAAAGGCACAAACCACAACTGCCTCACCTTTGGAGATTTCTTTTGCTTCGTGAGGCATTATCATGTTTTGACTTGTTTTGTATTTTTTTTTTTTTTTCTGAGTGAGCAGCAGTTAAGTGAGCTTACACAAGCAGAATGAGTGCCTGATTAATATTTTAGGAAAATAACTGCACAATAAGAAGAGAGGACAGTTTTGGGAAATGAACCAGGTGGCTCTGAGATCAGGCTCCTCTTAGATTGCAGTCAAGATTCAATTGATGATGGGTCGTGGTCTAGACATCCAGTGGCTAACAATCAGGTGAAGAATAAAGTCCTGCTGA